GTTAGTAAACAAATTTTGTCTTATAAATTAAATTTGAGATTAATGTCTTAAAATTAATATTAAAAAATATCATTTAAAAATTTAATTTTTTTAAAATTAAAATTTAATAAAATATTATTTACTTTCAATCTAAACTTAAATAAAATTAGTAAAAATTTAATAAAATATTATTTATTATAATCTAAACTTAAATATAATCTAAAATAATAATAGAAAAATTAAAATTTAGTTTCATATCTAGAACTTAAATCTATGTACTATTAAAAAATTAAATTCAGTTAAATAATTAATAATAAAAAACCAAAAATATGTACCCAAAAAATAATGAATGAAAATAAACTAAATAGCCAAATGAAAGTATTTCAAAGAAGATGTCTAGGTTTTTCAATTCATAGTCCACCTAATCCTCTGCTTCGAGATAGTGAGTGATGATATTGTATCTATTTTAATATTTTAATATCCATACTTTTGATTTATAATTCTTATCATGTTAAATTTAGGGTTTGAAACTAAATAATCATCTATACAAATAAATAAAGACTACGACTCAAAAATCACTAATAAAAAAGTAAAAAAAAAAAAGAAGATAAAAAGAATTAAAATTTGAAGTTGTATGTAGTTACCATTACCTAAAAGAGTAAGAAGGGGCACCTGGCCTTCTAGGCTGACTAGCTTGTAGTTGTAGCTAGCTTTAAAGGTGTACTTCTACAAGTATGATCTTAGATCAAATTCTCTTATTCTTTTAAATTTAAACTTGTTCAAAAAAAAAAAAAATGTAGGGAAGGGAAAAAGTTGTTAATTACATGCGTAATATGTGTTTGATTTACGATTTATTATTTATAAGTTGTGTGCATGTTTTTTATTTTTATTTTTATTTTTGTATTTTAATATTTTTATTTTTAAATATTATTATTATTATATAGATATTAAGTATAATAAACATATATAAAATTTCAATTATGTAAGCATAAATAATATATCAATTAAATAACATGGATAAATAAATTGAGTAAACAATTTTGAACCCCTATACTTATTACTTAATTTGATACTTGTAGGTATATTATTTTCATACTGTTACTTACCTAATTTTTTTTATAATTTAAATAAAATATTTATTTAAATAAATAAATATTTATAAATAATAGGTATACCCATACCCAATACTCACTCTGACTAATAGCTATTTGGCTAATAGCAATTCGACATGAGAGGACTCAAGCTGAATTGGCCTGTCAACCCATCGGGCTTAGGTTTATTGGATTTTAAAAATTTAAGCTTAAGGAGTTAGTAATTTATTAATACTGGTCTCCACATACATTGATATAAGGAAAGGGACATTACATGGTAATATATAAATATTGGTGTCCACATACATTTATACTAGGAAAGGGACATTATATTACATCCCATAGAAAAAAAAGGTCCAAAAATGAAAAAATGTTATCTTTTATTATCTATTGTTTGATGACTTTTGTAAGTAATTTCACTCAATGCTTTAATATACTAAATGAATGAAAATTATTTTTTTTGGATATAAATCTTCAACTTGGATTAATTATTTTTAATTATCATTAATTTACTATATAAAAACATTAAATTAAATTACATAAAATAAAGAACTAGAACTAATAAAAAAAAACTGGAGGCAGTATTAATTATTTACATGTCAAGATTTAATTGGGTGATTATACATTTATACCATATCGTGATGCGACCGTATTATAAACTTTTTTTTTCCCCCTTTGTCTTAAGGTTTTGCAAAAATGTTTGTTAAATAAATCTCTTTCAAGGGTATAACAAATTGAAAAACTTATGATGTCTTGGGGCACAACATAAGATCTTGAGTATGGTAGAGGGTTTTTAATTTAGTAAGAGGGTTTATACGTTATTTTCTAGTATAAAATAAACAGAATGAAATTTTAAAATTTTCTATGACTAAAAGTGATTTTAAAAGGTAAAAGAATATATTTCTTACATATGTCTCATACTTTTATATTTGAATATAAATATTAGTGGAAAAAACATAAAAATTATGTAAAATGCTTCTGAGTTCTTAAATTTTATTAGAGGGTGTCTTTTTTTTTTTTTTATTCAACATAAAATAAACATAAATTTATGTAAAATGATTCCAAGTTCTTAAATTTCATTAGAGAATGCTTTTTTTTTTTCAACATAAAATACACTTAAAAACACTAGTCTAGGGTGGGAAAGGACAAAATGTTATTAATGAATCTTCATGCACCTATAATTTATTAAATTTATTTTCGTCTTTTCAAACTTCATATTGATATTTTTTTAGTGCAAAATGGCCTGAAAAGAAGAAAAGAAAATCTAATTTCATTGAGAACAAAAGTCTATCCACAAGAACTTTTGTACGAGATGTGCTAGTTATTATTATTTTTTTTAATAAAAGAAACATTAGTTAAGTGTTAGTATTTATTTATAGGTTAGTATTGAAGTCAAAACTGAGTGAGCTCCGCCTATTACTTTTTAAAGTGACATGATCCATCTACTGGGATGAGGAAAGTTCAATGTTCTAGTTAATTTCTAAAATAGAGAAACCTTTCTTTTCTTTTTTTTTGGTAGAAGAGAGAAACCTTTCTAAGAACATGCCAAAGGGACACTTGATATATGGCTATTAGCTTGTTTGGACCTTACTAGTAACCTTAGGATGACATCGAAATTGCAAAGTTAATCAAGATGCTTGGTGTGTGTGAAGTTGTAAAGGACACTGCTTTGGCGCTTTTTAACTTGCTTTCTTTTTTGACTAATCCTGTTAAACTGACATATATTTCATGCTTACGTACGTAATCATAGAGATAACTTGACAAAAAAAGTTTAACATTCTTTTTCTTTTCTTTTTTTTAAACATGGAATCTGAGTATCAATCCAAGTTGGATGCCACAAATCCTCTGTATTAAGGGTCAAATTAACATTAATTTCCTCGATCATTTTTTTTACTCCCCAATCATCCGTTAAAGCCAGCCCATCAGCATGACGCATGAATCTGAAGATACAAAGAATCCCTGTAATCTATGTGACACCTAATGAGGTCATCATCTTTTCCTCATGCAAGTAGTCAGATTGCAATCCAAAGTATTTCAATAAATTATCGGCTTCTATTTGTGGCTCCAACCACTCCTATTTTTTTATCAAAAATAATTTTAGAATAATTTTTTTATTTTTTTTATACAATTTAATGTATTATTTAAATAATTTATTTATTTTTATTTATGTGAAACCGTTATATTTAAATGTATTTCTTATTTAAATGACATATACAAATTGTATAAAAAAATAATAT